AAGTGTAGAGTAGGCAGGTGATTGTATAGTTCAGAGTTAAAGGAGAAGCTCAAGTAGGAGAGATAAATTTAGAGAATATAGTCAGTAATAGTATAACAACTTTGTATGGTGACAGAAGGTAACTAAACTTATCAGGGTTATCACTTTGTAATATGTATAAATATTGAATCACTATATTATACATCTGAAACTAATATAATATTTTAAGTCAATTATACGTCACTTAAAAAAAAAGACATGAATTTGGGAGTCATCGTCATATAGGTGGTATTTAAGTTCATATATGAGATCACCTGGAGAGTAAATGTAGGGAAGAGAAGGGGTTTGAAGATTTGAGCCCCAGAGTGTTCCCACTTTTAGAGATTAGGAGACGAGGATGAACCAGCAAAGAAGACAAAAGGAGCAGCCAGGGAAGTCGGTGGAAAAGTGAGAGAGTGTAGTGCAAGTGAAGTGAGGAATGTGTTGTAAGGAAGATGGACTGTGTTGAATGTAACTGATCAGGTAAATAAGGCCCAAGAATTTACCATGGATTTGGCTGTTTGAAGGTCATGGGTAACTTTGACAAGAGCTGTTTCAGTAGAGTGGTGGGGTAACAACTGGTTAAAATTATTCCAGAGGGTTTTTGTTTGTTTACTGGTGGGAATGAGCCAGTAAAGAGGGAAAAATTGATGCAAAAAAGAGGCAACAATTCCTGGACCAATGTTGAGTAGAAGAGAAGGGATGGGATCCAGTGCATAGTTAATAAGCCACACAGGATCATTGTCACTCTTGAAAGATCTCACAGGCATTTGCCTTATTCTGTCTTCCCTTTGGCTGAAAGGTCCTTGCTTCCGTCAACACTACCATCCACCACTCCTCCTGCCAAAACCATATTCATCCTTCAAGAACAGAACACATACGTATCCTTCATGAAGCCATCCTCAAATTCCTTGGGCATAATTGATTTCTTTCCCTTGTGTGTCCTTGGCATGTTTTTTGTACTTTTCTTACATCACTTCCATGGACTGCCTAGTATCTTAATTAGTCTTTCTCTTTGATTAGATAAATTGTTCCTTGAAGGCTCCTGGTTCCTAATTTCTGACCTCATTCAACTATTATAAAAGACAAATAAATTAATAGACATATCTGGCTCATAGAAGGTACCCAATAAATATTTGTTGAATAAATGTACTATATGATTGTAAGGAGTTATTTCCCTTGTTTGATGAGGTTGGCTTAAGTTTGGAGGAATGGTGCCAGGCTCCACTCAATGAGTGTGTTTACTTTGCATCTACTACTAGTGCAAATAGTACTCTTTATTTGTCTGAATTCTATTAAAAAATCTATGTGTTCTCATCTCCTAAGCAACGCTGTATGTAACTACAGGTGTCTAAAGGGCTTTGTAGGTAGTAAAGTTCAGTAAATATTTGAGTTGATTAATGAAACTTTTTCTTCTGGTCTTACCTTTTCCAATCTATGGTAAATTGATGCCTTATAGGCAACTTCTAGCCAAGAATCACCCACTATCCCAGCAATTTTCAACCTTTTTCATCTCATGGCACACATAATTACTAAAATTCTGTGGCACACCAGTTAAAAATTGCTACTCTATCCTATTTCCCAAAAGCTCACCCCTGAGAATCAAATTTCCTCTTGATAATCATTCATTTCTCAAGAATAAGAAAATAATGATTTCTCAATAATTCTTAAGAATAAATAAAAATAGTAAGTCCTTGCTTGCTTGATTTCTGGCCAAATCAGTGCCTTTTAGTTGGGAAGCACTAAGTTAGGTACTGCCTATCATCTAGACAGGGCTAAAAAGAACATCCACATTGGGACCCAGCTTGAATCAAATACAGGTTCTACCACTTGGGCAAGTCACTTTATCTCAGTCAACCTCTCTGAAGTTAGAATTTTCTTTCCTGAAAATACAGGGATAATTATGCCCACTTAATAGATTTGCTGTGAAGGTTAGATGAGGAATGTGTGAAAAGTGCCTAGTTCAGCATCTAGAAATGTTAGCTGCTGTTATTTCCCTTTCACAGTTATTCCCCTTTCTCAATTTTTGGTTTTGTTTTTCTCTTACGCTGGTTTGCTGCTATCCTGTTTCAGAACTGTAGAGAAAATGGGTGGGTTATGTGCTTGTCCTAGAGAGCAATTTTGAGCAGTGGCTTCTTGCTCATGTCCCTCTTAGCCTGTCCGCCAAGGCCTCACACCCATGGGTCATTTCTTTACCCTTTATATTCTCCACTTCCCCCTTGAGTGCAGTTGAGGGACCAGAAGCTAGTTTCACCTCTGGCTGTATATCTTCTTCCACCCCAACTCTCAACTTTCCTTTTGAACCACAACTTCTGAAGTGATGGTTCTTTGTTCTCTAGCTCAAGGTTAGACACGCAGTGAAAATGATGCCATCTACTGGAGTACTAGATTTTCTTTGCTCAGGTTGCAGAAAAGCTTTTGCATCAATCTTGAGGTCTATTATTCCTCCTTGCTAAGTAAGAGTACACGTCCCAGAATGTCAGGATTCTCAAGTGATTTGTTTTTCTCTTTCCTTCTCCTGAGCCTGCATTTTTGAGAGAGAGCAAAGTGGAAATGATGCCAAACTCTGAGTAAGAAAGTGCCACATTCTCATCACGGCGTATAGGTTGACTCACTGTACTTCTCTGAGTTGCAGTTTTCTTATTTCTAAAATGGGACTAATAATTCCAAATTTTGACCTTACCAGATTTTCATTCTAAGATAAGGGATGCAGTTGTTTGGGGCATTGTCCTGTACACCAAAATGGTTGTGGGTTTGATCCCTGGTTGGAGTGCATTGGGGGAGTCAAACAATTGATGTATCTCTCACATAGATGTTTCTCTCTCTCTCTCTCTCTCTCTCGCTCGCTCTCTCTCCCTCTTCACCTCCCCCTCTTCTCCTTCCTCTCTCTCTAGAATCAATGAGAGCATATCTTGGGTGAGGATTTTAAAAAGAAAAAAAGATAAGGGATGCAGAAAGCTTGATAAACTAGAGTGCTACTTGGATGTAAGGAAGTATTATTATTCTCCTTCCTCATTTATTTTTCCAGGCTGGGCCAGGTTTGGGGGGAATAGGTGCCAGACTCTCTGCATTTACTTGTTTGCTTCCCCAGGACCCTGCCTTACCTAAGGGGCAGAACCTGGTGAGAGTCCCAAGCCATATAGTCTGTGATGGGCTTTCATGATCTTGCCACCCAGGAAGGTGCGTACCATAAGCTAAACCATTGATTTGCCAACTCTCTGCTCCTCCCAGCCATGGTTCCTGTAGCTTGGTAATGTGGGCCTAGGAAGCTTGGCCTCTCTCTACTTCATTGGAGACTCCAAGAAAAATTTCTGTTTAATCTCTCAAAACTTTGACTTATCTGCCATAGATACATAGCCAGACTGTCAGAACATTCTGGGAGTTCTCTGAAATGAGAGAATAATACAGTACTTCTAGTTACCCCTGAGTGTCTACCATGTATCAGGTACTACAGTTAGAACTTATCTTGTTTAATACTCATAGCATCCTTTGAAGTAACATTTATTATTTGCAGTTTACTGGAAAAAAAGCCTAAGGTTTAATAAGTTAAGTCTCTATTTCCAGACACATAGCTGGTAAGTGGTAGAGTTGGAATTTGAATTTACTTCTATCTTATTCCAAAATTGTTGTTTGATCATCGTACCACGAGGCCTCCCAGCACTGTATAGGAAGAGGGGCTGTGTGCTACAGAGGAGAATTCAGGTTTCCACTCCCGTGATCTACATGCAGATCCGAACCTTGCCTGTGCAATCTGGGGCAAGTGGCTTTCAACTTCTCTGGCCACAGATACTGTCTCATTAAATCTTAACCGCAGCCATGTGACTTCTCCCCTCCCCCCCTCCCCTCCCCCTCATTTTTTTGCTGCTATTCTTATCTCTGTTTTATATTTGAGGAAATGTGGTAAAGGTGGAATAATGTGCCCAAGGTTACAGAATGGTAAGGGGCAAAGCCAGAGCTCAAGTCTGGTTTGGTGTTCTGTCCACCATTTCTCACAGCCAATTCCTAAGACTTGGTGCATCACAGGCAATCTCACAGCTTTCAGGATGCTGGTTGAAAGCTTATAGGAGCAGGAGCCTCACCCTCTTCTGCTCTGTTTCTTTCTCTTCCCATAATATCTTCCTCTTAGAAACCTTACTAAGGCAATATAAACATTTGCAATTCAAGAAGATTTATATGCAAAGCTTAAAAACTGCCCAGAGCACCCCACAGAAGCCTGGGAACCTGCCTCCCATCCTTTGTATGAGTTTGTGCTATTACTCTGGCAGCATGGTGTAGTGGGTAGTTTTGAGAAAGTTCTTTCTGAACTTTTTTTCTTTATCAGTAAAATCTTGTAAGGTTGTTGTGAAGGTTAGAGATGATAAATATTCAAGAGCAGCAGGTAGAGCCTTACTAATTGGTAGCAGTTATTTATCCTGGCAGCAGAGTCTAATAGAAACCAGACTGGGAGTCAGGAGTCCTAAATCTATTATTCTCTTATTCTGTGACCTAGGGCATGTGAGGCACTTTCTCTAGATAGACTAGGTGATCTCTAAGGACTTTTCAGCTTTAATATTTGTGCTTTTAAAAATGAAAGTAATGTTTAAAAAAATAAACTGGACAGAATTATATGAAGTAAGAAGTGAAAGACCCCTGTCTTTCCCTATTCAGTACATTCCCAAGGTAATACTTGTTACCACTTTGTATGCTTTCCCTTTTCTGTGTATTTTAAATATATACAGGTACATGTAAGTATGTATATGTATATGTTGTGTGTACATATATACACATACACATTGTATGGTATGTTAAACACTGGAATCTAGAATTCATACTGTATTATGATTTGATCCTTTCACTTGCTTTGGGCATTTTTTCTTGTTAATACTTGAAGATTTAATATATTCTTTTGAATTAATGTTAAGTGGTCCCCTAGTAATTACATGTCATGATTTTTTAAAGCAAATATACACAGGCAGTGTTGAGTTTTAAATTTTTCTTTTCAGGAAAAGAAGAAAAAGAAACATAGAGACAGGAAGTCATCTGACTCTGACAGCTCAGACTCTGAGAGTGACACAGGCAAGAAGGCAAGGCACACATCCAAAGACAGCAAGGCGGCAAAGAAGAAGAAGAAGAAGAAGAAGCACAAGAAGAAGCACAAGGAGTGAGGGTGCGGGGGAGAGGGGGGCGTTGAGAGAAGGGACCGGGGGCCTTGTGTCTTGCAGCCCTGGTTCCTAGAAAGACGCAGTAGTGAGAATATGGCCTCCCACCCCATGACTCTCTCCCATGGAAGATGGCTTCCTCTTCATGCCGCGGGCAGGTCTGGGAGCTAGATGTCAGAAGCATCTGCCTGAATGAGTTGTTGTTTCCTTATCACTCCTGGTCCATTTGCAAGCGATCCCTGCAGCTCATCCATCCATTCACCCAACTTCCTCCATTCAGCAGAGGTCCTGTTACCCTCTCCAGCTGCCACTGCCAGAGCCTGATTCCTGCACAGGAGTCCAGGCTAGAGCCACAGTTAACTGCTGTGGAGGTGAGTCTGGCTGTGGTTGGAGAACAGTGAGTGGCCCCTCCCTGCTGGTTTGCCCTGGGCTGATTGGTGGGTGATCTCTGCTACATCCAACACTGGGCAGATGGAGGGAGCCTGGAAGTCTGAGGGAGGACATGGTAAGAAGTGGTGCTCACTCTTTCCGTTCCCCCTAATGATTCTACTGTGCTAGAAGTGACAAGCCAGTGCCTGCAGCCAGAAAACCATCGTATGCAGTGACTGAGCTTGTGTATGACATTCTGCCAGACCACTGAACCAGACAGCTCAAGCCAAGATCATTGCTTTACTTCGTGTTTACTACTGTGTGAGTCAATTGGTTCCACTTCAGGTTTCTGCTTAAATGCCTGGCACTAAATGGAAATGTGTTTGGTTTTAAACTTATTGAAAGTTCTTATTGCTGTAATACCTCTTTCTAGGTAACTTACAGACTTAGAAGTCACCAAGTCTACATGAGTTGACAGAAGGACATTCAATATGTAACCTTAGACTTTGGAGAGAGGCCTGGCTGAGATACAGAGCCATATGTACTAGCAAGTCACAGCCTTCTTAGATCACTAATAAGCCCTCCCTTCTGTAATGTTCAGATGACCTCTTCCCCCTGAGCTGATTAGAGAACAACTGAGAATTTATAACTCAGTAATGGCCTGGGCATAGGTGGGAGCTCAGCAGTCATCTTGGCCAGTGGGCATTTTCTCCCACTTCCATGGAATAAGCCTGGATCCTTTGTCCTGATCCCTGATTCTGGAGAGAGACCACAGCATTGCACAGAGAACAACTGTCCATCCTGAGGGCATTTAATGCAGATGGGCCTGAGGAGGTGATAGTTCAGTAGCCAAGCCTGGGGAAGCCCTGCCACTGATTGATTATTCCAGGTTGGACTAGCTCATTTGGCCATGGAGAGGAAGTAAAGGCAAGGTGTAGTACAGCTGTTACATTATTGTACCTGTAAGGTGGTCAGCTACCGCTGTCCCCGAGACTGTCCATTTCAGTCTCATCCAGTGCTTCTTCCTGAGTTACTTTCAGGCAGGTGTGCATTTCTGCCCACTGCCCACTCTGACACACTGAAACTGAGACTCCCAGAGTCATGTCACCAAAGGCAAAAGGGCAACTGGGTGGCCTTGGCTCTGCTTTATTGACTTCAGAGCACTCTTGGGACGCAGTTAAAAAAACAAACACAATGGGAACTGGAACTGAATCCAGGATGGTGCACTTGACCCCAGAAGAATTTCCCCAACCAAGGCGGATTTATACAAAATGCCAGAGGAAAAAATGAGGCAGTCTGGTGCTGAGTCCAGGGCTAGCCAGAGGATCAGGTTTGGCAGAGGAGAAGTCAGTGAAGCAGTGGGCAGGTCATGCCTCTTTCTCGTAAGTGCGAGTACAGACTGCACTGCCATGGGTGAGTGTCTGGAAGGAAAGAGAGTCAGGTTAGGGTAGGGGTGTGGGAACAAACATATTGGAAGCACTCCATTCTGATGGGGAGAGCCCTGTGCCTTCATCCTAATCTTCATTTATTGACTACCTACTATGTGCCAAGTGCTTGACATATATTTTTTTCTAATACTTACAACAGAGGTCTTTAAGTTATGCATATAACCCCTCTTTTAGAGATTTGGGAAAATGAGTTTTGAAAGAGGAAGTAAGTTGGTCAAGATCCCAGTGTTTCTCTTTCCCTTGTACCATTTTTCTCCCTCATCCTTAATGCCTAAGATGGTGCCTGGCATGTAGTAAACAAATAGGTGAATACAAATATCCAGAGACTCTAGGGAAAGACTGTGCTAGACCACCAGCTTCCTCTCCTTCCCTAACTTGGGGTAGTCCCAGGACCAGAGTCCTGAGCCACCACTACCCAGCCTGGCATTGTTGAGACAAGCCTGTGGTCTCATCATAGCTGATTGCCCAGTGAGTATTTGGTCCTGCATGTCACATTTCTACCAGAGGTGGGCACCTCATTCTTAACTCTGCAGGGACCCTGCTCTGTGTGAGTGCAAGAATGCAGTGAGCAGGTTACACTACCCAGGAAGGTCTGCCGTGAAGACACGGAAGTGAAAACCTGTGGCCCTATGGAATTAGGAGGTGGAGACCAAGGGCAGCTGCTATCTCTGTCCCTGGGTCTGTTCACTCAAGTCTACCTTCTCTAAGTGAAGTCCCCAGGTTTGCCCCTAAACAGACAGATCTGCCAGCCTAGTTGTCACTTCCTACCCAGTCTGTATGCAGGTACTTGCAGGCCAGGCTTGAAAAGCACTGAGAGTAGGCAGGGCTGAAAGGAGGTAGGACGGACTATTCCCTCAGTCAGTACCCCACAGGTCACCAGCCTGTTATTGCCCAAAGGCTTTACATGTGGCAGCCTAGTCCTAGGGAGGAGAGGGAAAAGGGAATGCTGTGATAGGAGGTGGGAACCTTTTCCTAGGGACTTGGGATCAGATCTGGCCCTGCTATCTACCTCTATGGGGTGAGGCAAGGCAGCAACACAGAAAACTAAGGCTGTGGAGCACCTGCCGTCTTCTCCATGTCAGTGATGCTCTGTGTCCACTGCCTCATTCAGACTTCCGAGCAGCCCTCCGGGGTTGGTGTTACCAGTACCTTTTTTACATTTGGACTTAAAGGTGACTTGTCTGAAGTCTCACAGCCTGTTAGCTGAGATTTGAACCTAGGCTTGAGGTGTAAGTCCAAAGCACTACACATAAAATTCCCACCCAACACCACCCCGACCTGTTCTCCATCCTCCATGGTCCCAGCTTTCAGTGCTGCTGGGGGAAAACCTTGACCCTTCACAACAGGCTTGGCTGAAGGGGCAGCAGTAGTAACTGGCCAGGCAAGGCTCCAAAGTTGTTTGTCTTACCAGGATGAGTTTTCCATCAGTGAGTTCTCGCACAAGTGTTGTTTCTTGCCCGTCCCATTTCTGCACATGGACAAGTTTGCCTCCATCCAGTGTCACAGTGGACTGTGGAAACAGGGTAGAGGCCTGAGCTGTGATCTGAGCCAGAACTGAGGGACAGCATGGGGTCTGGTCAGTGGGCCACAGAGGACTCAGCCTCTGGCCTAAACTAATGATGGTTCTAGGCCCAGAGCTCAGGCAGCCCACCTCCAGCCTTTCCCTGCAGGATGTCCAGCTCACCTCCAGCCTCTGCTCCACTACTGTCTGGCTGGGGGAAGGGCCTTCAGGTGCTGGGCAGTTAGGAAGAGGCGGGCAGTGTGGTAGAGCCAGAGAGCCTGGCTCTGAGAAGTACCACCAGTGTTCAAGACAGGCATTTATCTCGTACTCTAGGTGATGCCATAGCCCCAGTGCCCCTAAGATATAAGGGGCATGTACCAACCTATATTCCTGTGAAAGACTGGTGAGGAGTCCTGAGACTCTCCAGCCTAGTGGTGATCACATGTAATGTCTAAAAGACCCTTGGGGATAGGGGGTATTGGAAAATTAGACTTCCCACCCTGTATTCCTACCCCTCTTCTTGGTCCACATTATGTCACCCCTTCAGCTGACAAAGTGGTCAGCACTGCCAGGTCCTGGGACTGGGTGCCCTTGGAGTGTTCCACAGCCCTGGCCAAATGCCCACTTAGTCTTCCAGGTGCTACCAGCCTGCACCAGCTGGTTCTCACTTGGCAGCTCTCCCAGGTCTCTCCTCTAGGAATTTGGGGGTCTAGGCCAGGCTAATGGACCCTGAATGAGCAGAGAGCGGTAGGAGAATCTGAGGTTGTGTACATGTGTTTGGCGATGGGGGAGGGGGGCAAGTTATGTGTCCTTACCACCACCTTACTACTCATTCCCATTCCCTTAGTTTTTGCCCACTCAGCAAATTATTTTTAGCCAGGCATCCCAGAGAACTACTGTTGTGTTTAGTTGGGATTCTTGCCCCTCAAGAAGGTAGGGTAGTTCAAGGAGGTACAGGCATGGTAGGGGCAGCCACCTTCCAGGTAGGCTGCCATCCTTGGGCACCATCCCAGCTCTGTTGCCAGCCTCCGGTGATCCTGAGCTGGGTTCTGGCTTCCTCCACAGGGAAAGGACCAGACCCTTCCCTGTCCTTCCTGGGGGCAGCTGTGAGGAAGAGGAAACAGCTGAGGGGCTGAATGATAGGGTCTGGTGGAGGGATACTGCTGTAGGGACACCCTGTAGAGGCCAAAGCCGCTTAGTCCTCTGTCTTCCATGCCTAGCCCAGGGGAGGCCTGAGGCAAGCTGCCAAGAAAAAGCCACGGCAGGGTGATAGCCCTTAGGATGTGGACAAAGGCTTGGCTGGAAGACACTATAAACACACCCAAGACAATGCCCCATCCAGATCACAGCTTGTCCTGCCTGTGGACTGGCAGCATTAGAAATACTTCCTTGGGGCCATTGGCCATGCCCAGGAGGTAGAAGTTGGGGAAGAGGAAGCATCTGAGTAGGTTTCATTCACAGCTTGTCCCCAGCTGCCTCCCTTGCTGCCGGAGGCCAGGATGACCTCTAACTCAGTGGAGGGCCCTGACTTCTGGGCATCATTCCTAAAGCACTTGAGGTAACAGCCATGGCCACACCACTCCCCCATCTATGGAAGGGGAAAGAAACCCAGAGTTATTGCATGCCATGCCCAAGGTCACCTAGCCAGAGCTGGAGTAGACACTGAGGTCAGAAGAACTGGCTCTGCTGCCCACTCCCAGAGGCAACTGGTAGATGCTTCCCAAGAATGGAGGAGGGAAACGAGGACAGGAATAACATGCATTTATATAGCACTGGAACATTCCAGCATGACAGACTTTATGGCCCTTGTTTATTTCAATTCCCCACTGCAATAATGGCTATAAGACTACCAGCTCATTCCCTTTCAGGGTCTCGATGTCCTCCATATCCCATGCCCCGTCTTGACTCACCTTGCACTTCCTGTCATCTGCTGTTGTCTCATCAAACTCCACCCCCAGCTTGAAGCTGACCTCTGTGTTCTTGAAGGTGCTTTGTGTTTTTATAGTGATAGTGTCTCCATTTATTTCGATGATTGTGGTAGGCTTGGTCATATTGGCCACCTGCCTGGTAGCAAAACCCACACCTGAAGGCAGAGGGAAGGTTATAAGAATATGAGTTGAAGCAGAGAGAGAGGATACAAGGAGCTCAATGAACAGCTCTTAAGCCGGATGTGGGAAAGAGGGAAGAAGAGGATGAGACCTTTACAAGACTTGGATGGTCATTTTTTTTTATTCAGTCATACGTGGTGAAGAGACACTAATGATCCCATTAGACAGATGAGACTTAAGGGACAGGCATGCCACAGCAGGCCCTTGGCAGAGCTGAGATTAGAATGTTACTAAGTGCTTTCTGTGTGGTAAGAACTGTACATGTGTTATCTCATTCAATCCTTCCAGTCTTCCTGAAGGGTTGATGTATTATCTCTACTTTACAGATGCAAAAATTGAGATAGAGTTGAAGCCCAGGGTCACAAATCTGAATTGTTTGACTGCAGAGCTCACTTAACTGCTCAGCTACAGAGCCTCTCAGGCTGGAGCCCAGGCTCCTTCCAGGGCACCTGAGCAGCTTTCAGGCCACAGGCTAAGGAAAAAATGTGTATTTTGCCTTCCAAGGCCTTGGGATAAGAGGTCTACCTTTGGAAGTTTCTACCCTGAGATGCACTGGTGCTTTTGTCCCCCATATATGGCAACAAGACATTTTCAAAGTCTCTTATCCCAGATCTAGGAGGTAGACAAAGGGTGTGTTTGTCTCACTGTACAGATTTAGAAGAGGCCTAAAGTGGTAGTGCAGTCAGGACTCGAATCCAGGTCTCCTGGCTGTTAATCTAAGGCTGGATAGGGAGCCCCCTCCTGACCCAAGCATAGCTTTCCTGGGTGCCAGTGTCCTGCAAGAGAGTGCTGAACAAAGAGCTCTTAGGCAAAGTCTAAGGTGTGTTCCTGCGATCTGTCCTTTTGCCTCCAACCTCCCCTCATAACTGCCTGGCCCTTCTGCCACCCAGCAGCCTATGCTGAGCTGTCCTCCAGGGCAGGGGCGAGGCAGGAACAGCCCAGTGTGGTGAGGTGTGAGTAAAGTCCCTCAACATGCCTGGCTACATAGTGCTTGTTGGCAGCTTGGTACTTACCCCGTGCCCTCCATGGGTTAGTGTACTCTAAATGCTAACAGCCCTGAACAGTGGGTTTTATTAGCCCCACTTACAAAAGAGCCTCAGACAGTGAAGTAACTTGCCTAAAGTCAGAGTCTAGGCTCCAGAACTGTGTTATTCCTGGCCCATTCTGCCTCCTGTGATGTGTGTCCACAATCACTGGTACTGCCTTTGCCTCCGGAGAATCCTTGGTCTAAAACAATGGGCACAGTCATTCTCAGCAGCTATCATGTAGCTGGCCCACCCTGCCTGGCCCGTGAGGGACTTTGGTCTCACCCCCTGCTGTCAGAGTGAGTCAAGCCAGTTCCACTGGGCAGCAGAGAGCTGGGCCTTATCACTGCACAGGGAGTTCTGTTTGCCTAGGACCTACCTGGAGGAGTGGAGTGTTTGAGGAAGGAATCCTCTGGAGAGGGAGGGAGGGACTAAGCCAGGAGAAACTGAGAAAGAAATGACCGACAGGGTTTAGGAGACTTGGGAAGAGGTGGATTCTACTTAGACGTGAAGTTGAAGCTACTTACTGAGAGACCTGAGGAAGGGCCTTTCTATCAGTACAACAACAAAAGCAGATCGGCCGGAGCCTGTTGCCCAGTGGTTAGAGCATCGGCCTGCGAACTGAAGGGTTCTGGGTTCAATTCCAGCCAGGGGCACATACCTCTCAGGCTTGATCTCGGCCCCGGTCAGGGTGCTAGCAGGAGGCAACGAGTCAATGTGTCTCTCTCACATCAGTGTTTCTGTTTCTCTCCCCCTCCCCCTTCCACTCTCTGGAAAGCAATGGAAAAAATTACCCTTGGGTGAGGATTGAAAAAGAAAAGTAGATTGGATGTACTCTTAGCCCCCTAGTCCACGCTGGGGCAAAATAAGGGAGCAATGGTGGTAAGGATGTTGCTGCTCACTTCAGGGACCAGGTTTTCCACTGGAATGCCTGCTGTGGGAGGCTTGAGAGGAGGAACTAACCCTGGGCAGTCCAGCTGCCCAGGACTCACTGGACATAGTGCCCAGGATAAGACAGGCCTCAGAACCTACAAGTGTGGTCCCTATTTCAGGAAAGAGGAACAGAGGTGAGAGGTGCCTAAAGTGGATCTATCTCCCTTCTTCAAATATCTGCCGAAATCCAGCCCACCTTCCCTGGGAGGGAGGCATGGAACGTCGGTAGCTTGACTATGATTAACATTCCAGTTTTCCCAGTCCCGGCCTGGAGATGTAGGATAACCTCATAGCTGGGGGAATTTCAGGTCATGGTATCACACTCTCCAAAGAGGCAGCACCAGGAGGGGAAGGGCTGAGGTTGATCATTAGATAAGTATTTTCAACCACTCCCACCCCCAGGGCCCATATGGGAACTGATCTGGGTTGCAGATCTAGAAATCTAGGTTTTCTGCTCTGCTGTGGAATTTTTATGACAAGCTTCTACTTTCTCTGGGTCTCAGTTTCCCCATCTGTTGAACTAAGCGAGGTATGGGGATCTCCAAGGACCTCGCCTATAAGATTCTTTGAATTTTTACACTTCTGCATCCCAGCACCACACTCTCCTAGAACAAAGACCCCACCACCCGCCTTTAATAGGTCTTGGCCTTGCTCCAAGCCCCATTGCTGCACCCTGGAAGGCCAAGGGCTTTCTCCACCGGGCCCCTCCCACTGAGTGGCTAGACCTTGGGTTGTAGCTGATGTTGGGGCCTCTTGCCCCACCTCACCACTAGGCTCACTGACAGTGCCTAAAGCCTGGTACACACCACTGCAGGACAAGGTCAGAGACTGGCTGGTGAGAAAGGGAATCCTCCAGGGGAAATCCTTTTTCCTAAACCAACATGGAGAAGCAGGGTTTGTTGCTAACTGTGTGGGCTCCTACCTCTCCTATCCCATCACTGGGGTTACCCATCCCTCCTCCTGGGAATTCCCTCCTTCTGCAGGCCATAGTACACTCCCTATCCACACCATTCCCATTCTGTGCTCACCATTTCCAATTCCTAAACCACCCGGGCTCCTGTTCTTTTCCTCCCCTAGCTAGCCTCTCACCTTGGATCAATGCTCTCTTTTTATCCAAACCCTCCACAACATATACCCCTCTTCCCGAAAAGCACCTCAACCCCACATGGACCGGCAGGCACAATTGCCTCCTTGAGCCTTGCTAACTGGATATCCCTCTCACTATGTTCAGACCATAAGAGCCCCCTCCCAGGCCTCGCATGCCCTAGCCCAGGCTGCCCCTTCTCTGCGTCCCCTTACCCCCCAACCTCGACCAGGAGGGATAGAGCAGGCGTGCAGGGTACCAGCCAGGGCGGGAGCGCTGCGCCCGGCGGGGCACACGGCCAGCCCCTTCCCTGCCCAGCATCCCGAGCCCTGCTCACCGATGGACTTCATGTAGTCATCGAAATTCTTGCTTTCCACTAGCTTCCAGGTGCCTGCGAAGGCGTCCACCATGGTGAGGCTGGCCGAGGCTGAGAAAGAAGCAATAAAGCTAGCGTGTAAGGACTCCGGGACCCGCGGCTGCCTGCCGGTGCCGCCGCTTTAAATAGCCCCTGCGTCACGTGACGAGGCGTGACTCCCCCTGCTCCCCCCGCTCCAGAAATAGGAAGCCCCAGGCTGGCAGCTCACCCTGCAGGGGCTGGCCGCCCCTCCCCCAGCCCGCTGAAGCGGAGTGGGCCGGCAGTGGTGCCAGGCCAGCCTGCGTCAGCGCGGGTGCCTGGCCTCCGAGTCCCTGCCCCGGGCTGGCAGGACGGGCCGTCTTCCCTGGCCTCAAGGCCTTCTTTGGAATCTGAGAAGGAAGCAGTTGGGGGCGCAGTGCACGGGAGAGATGGGGCCCACGCCCCAGACATCTTCTATCCCCCCCAGTCCCTCCCTAGCTTGGCGGTATTAGAGGAGAAAGGAAACTAACTCGCCCTTGGTCTGATGCCCACCCCGGGAAAGCTCTGGCTGACTTCGCGGCGCAGGCATCTTGGTCCTCATTTTACAGGTGAGGAGACTAAGGGGAACTGACAAGGTCGCAGAAAATGAGAGGGTGAATTGGAGCCCAGATTGCAAGCCTGGTTTAGCTGGCTCCAGAATCCGCGCTCTCCGGCCACTCCCCTCTGCCTGGTGGCCCGGACAGTCACCAGGGGCACCGTCGGAGGCAGAGCTGCCTTTGTGCCCTTCGCCTGCCCGCGAAAGTGTGACCCTACCGCCATGCCCGCCCCACGTGTGCTCGCCACTCCCTGAGGAATGTCTGCCGCGCGCCTCTCCGCCCCGCAGTCCAACTCCCCACGCGCCGGCCGCGGGTGCTCCAGGCTTTTCTGACCTCTGCGCGCAGCTCGGCATTCTCTGCGGTTCTTACCCCTCATCCCCCTTCAGAGATTCTGTCCCTCGCCTGCCTGCTGCAGCCCCCACCTGCTGCCCTTTCTCTAACCTCTCCTCACCCAGGAGCTGTCAGTCACCCCCTTTAAGGAGGCTGTTGCGTGGTTGACGCTTGACTGTTCACGCAGCACTGTTACTAATAGTAAGACCCACGTTGTATTGATGTTTACTGCATGCTGAGGGAATTAAGTACATTGTCTCACTGAACTTTTAAAACAAAGCCCATGATGTAGGTGTTAGACTATTATCCCTGTTTTACACATGAGCAAACCAAAGCTTAGAGAGCCATTCATTTCAGTTATTAAAGCACCTACTTTGTGCCAGGCCCTGGGTTAGGCTCTGGAGAGACAACCATGAATAAGACATACTCACATAGCTCACCTTTGGGTGGGCAGACAGAAAACTAGCATGGTGGCTTTTAAGGGAAGGCCTGGCCTGATCTAGGGGCTCAGGGGAGACTTCCCAGAGGAAGCGAGTTGTAAGCAAATTCCTGATAGGAGGCCCTGCATAAGGGAGTGGTGACCACCTGAGCTTCAGGCAGCAGAGGACAACTTAGGGGGACATGTAGGAGCTGCAGGCCCAGGAGCCCTGGGCTCCTGCCAACTCTGCCACACACTTACAGTGTGGCAGACCCCACTTGCTGGACCTCTGTTTCTCCACGTGGAAGCAGAGAACATCTGCTCCTACCTCCATTTCCCTGACTGTCTGGGAAGGAGGCCAGGGAGGAAGAGCCCTCTCCCCCAAGGTCTCAGTTATTTTGGATAGTTCACCTGCCAGAAGACCCAGGGGTCTATTTCTGCCAAAGCTGCAGGGACAAGCCTCAGGGCTGGGCATGGAGCCCTGGTGACCTCACTGCTGGAGCAGGTTCCCCGGGGAGGAGGGGAGTGGGATGATTTCTAACTCAAGGTCACAGCCTTTAGACACAGGGCCTCCTCTCTCAAAGACTGAGTGGCTAGAAACCCAGGAACCAGAGCTGTCTCCCTACAAGGTCTTTATAATGCAGTGGTGGAGATCTAGGGCTGACAGATCTGAGTTCCAATTCTAATTCCATTGGGTTCTAGCTCTGTGGCTGTGGCCAATCCACTTAAGCCTCTCTAAGTCTCCCGTTCATCTTGAAAATGGAGGTAATGACAGTATTTACCGAATAGAGGTGTTTGGGGAATCAAACAAGATTATGTACTTAAAATGCTGAGTATGGTCCCACTGGTGTGGCTCAGTGGACTGAGCATGGTCCCATGCACCAAGAGGTCTTTGGTTGAATCCCAGTCAGGGCACATGCCCAGGTTTCGGGCTTGATCCCCAGTAGGGGGCGTGCAGGAGGCAGCCGATTGATGTTTCTCTCCCATCAATATTTCTATCTCTATTTCTCTCTCCCTTTCTCTTTCTAAAAATCAATAAAAAATATTTTAAGAAATGCAGAGCATGGTAGGCTTAATAAGGTATGTTCACTCCTGCTGCTGCTATGATTACTATCTCCATGAGTTCTAAGACCTGGTCACAGCTCTACCCCTCACCTGCCGGCCACCCAAGGCAGATAGCCTTGCTTCTCTAAAACTCAATTTCTTACTCCTGAGACAGGATTAGAAACTGCTGCAGCTGTGAGGAATGGGCAATAGAGATCTTTGGGATGGGTCTAGGGGGATACTGCCAGAAAGTCCTTTTGCTCCCTCTTTTGGGCCCTGCCTATGTTGAACAGCATGGTGCTTGAGGAACTCTAGACAAACCTGAGACCCACTGTTCTAGCTGCCCTACCCCCATCTCTCCACCACACTCAGACCTGAGTCACCAAAGTTGACTCCTAAGCTGCGCCCTATCTCCTTTCCACCTGGCTCTCAGCTTCCCAAGTTTGTACAGTCTTCTCATTCCTCCAATTACCTGCATCCTCCTTGCCCTGTTATGCTCACTACATCTGGGGAGAGAGGGGCAAGGGAAGAGAATATGAACCCTGTCCCATTCTCTACCCCCTTCTTTGTCCTTGGCAGATCCAGATGTGGATATAACATCTGTCAGGCAGCAGGACCAATCCCTGCCAAGAGCAGCATCTCCCCAGCCCTTGCCCCTATGGTGATATCACTGTCTCTGTTTCCACGGCAACCACAGGCTGGGAAGATAGAGGAGAGGAGAGATGAGTAACCAGGAGAGAGCCAATGAGATGGGCCGGCAGCACCGGGTGATCCATGGGGCCATAGGGAGGGGGAGAGGGAGGCCTACTCAGCATCTTCAGCTGTTCCCTCCACTGGGGGATGTATTGCTGGCACAGGGAGAGATGCCAGATTTAGAGGCCAAAGAAGCTGAGTGGGAGGCTTCACTGACCCAGGGACATGGAGGCCCCCTTTGCCCCTTTAGGGCCTCAGTCTGTGAATGCTGACCACCCCCACCCCGCCCCCAAGTACCTGAAACCTGAAATTTTTCTCTTTGGCTGGTAGTGGTGGAGGGGCTCTGTGTCTCTGCCTGCCACAGAATCATCAGGTTTCTCCACACCCTCCCAATCCTCCCTTGGTGCCTGGTGTGTGCAGAAGCAGTATCTTTGGAAAGAGGCCTGGTTCTAAATCCCAGCCTGCTACTTACTAGCTAGAGACCCAAGCAAGTCCCTTCCCCCTTCTGAGTCTCCCTCCCAGATGGAGGAAGGCCATCTACTTCTCTAGGCTGTTATGAGGATGAAAAGAGATAACATATGGAAAGCCTAACATACACTAATATTCAATGGATGGTGATCCCCCCTTCTCCCTTTTGAGTTTCCTTCCCAGGGCATTTGTCCCAAAGGTGCACCACAATGAGCCAAGTATATGTCCCCCTCCCTGAGGTCATTGAGTGCCTTCTGGGTCCTCATCTCTCCCTTTCTCTCTCTTTAAATAATTCATCTATTCCACCAGTCTTAATTGAGCACCTCCTGTGCCCAGGCACTGTGCTGGGCTCAGTGGGGATCCAGTACAAACAAGAGAGCCATGGCCCCTGCCCTCTCTCAACACAAGAAATATCCAAACCTATAGAGAAGCTTTACAAACATTTATTTGAGCCAAATAGAAGATAGGCCTGGAAGCAAGATTTCAACAAACTGTGAGATAAATGCTTTCAAGAATAAGTTTGCAGTTTCTTTTGTGCATTTGAAGTTAAGGAGGGAACATAAGGAAGATTACATGAAGGTGGGAGAAAGCGAGGTGGGGATGGGATTACCAAATAGTTAAGATTATGTGCTTTCTTGAGGGTTGTCATGCTTTAGGAGTAGGGGTGTCAGAGGGTGGTCCCCCAGTAGCATGAGGGTCCCAAAGGGGGCATTTCAAGGAGGCATTAACTTAGATGCAGAGCTGCAATGGGCAGGGCTTGCTTGAGGCAAAGATAAACCTTTTACTAAAGCAATGAGGCTTGGGACCTGACTGACTACCCACATGACCTGCCCAGTTTGGAATTTATGATCAGATCACCCTGTGAGGTTACTCTCTAGAAAACCCCTTTTCTGTCCACACCTCCCCGAGCTGACAATGCAGGGGGACTGCAGCCACAGTGGGTGAATGGAGTGTTCTTTCTGTCGCTAGGAAATCACTTCCTTGTTCCGCAGGAGTTCTAGATACTGTGGGTCTGAGAGCACAGAAGATGGCAAAAAAGATAGTGGTTTGCTTCTCAGAAGCTGTGGCCTGTGGCAGAACACTCCCAGAAAGGAAGCCAGTGGCACTCCCTACCCGGGAAGAGGGGATGCAGCTCGGAGTGGGGGGCAGTCACCTCTGCCTTCTGGAAACTGCCTATCCCACCTGTCGCTGACAGAATAAAGCCCCAGCTCTTCAGCCTTGTCTTATCTGTTTCATTGGTTTACTTTATTACTGAAATCCTGCTCCAAAAAGAGTACCTGGCAGATAGTAGGCATGAATGAATGTTGCATGAATAAATAGAATGAATGAATGAGTGAATGAATGAATGAATGAATGGGGGAATCTATCCACCTCTCTAGCTTCAGGCCTCTGGAGTGAGACTCGCTTGGATTTTAATCCTGCCTTTCTTACTTACATACACTGTGTCTTTGGGCAAGTCACAGTCTCTTTGGGTCTCAATTTCTTTATTTGCAAAAAACCCAGCCAGCCTCCCAAGGACTCTGGGAAGATCAGGTAGGATTAACCTGAGAGTGCTATACAAAGATGAATTGTTTCTCCTCAGT